TTTCAGTCCTAGAACAAGAAAAGAAAGGGGAAATCTCAAGCCTCTTACTGATTTTTCTCAAGGGAAGGGGAGTCGGTGGCTGGGGGGCTTTGGCCGGCTGCAGGGGGGTTGGGAAGAGCAGAAACGCGAAAATGGCTGGGGAAGAAAGAAGGAAAAAAATAGCTGATCCTTATCCAAATCCTTTTCTCTTTTAAGTCCCTCAAGTTTGGTGCTGATCAAAAAAAGTCCCTCAATTTTGGATATTTTAGCTAATAAACCCCAAAATAATATTTTCTCACACAAAGGTCCTCATCTTAAATGCTAGAATTTCAAAAAATTTGGGATTTTACATTCATCCCTCCTAAAAATGAGTTTTGTCCCCAAAACTCAAATTGAGGATCATTTCAAGTGGTGAATGACTTCACACAATCCAAGACAAAACAAATGCCTTACCAATTCTTTATGAACAAAACATAGCCTACTATACTTTCGCTGCGCCACTTTGATATCAAACCACAACTAATCATGAAAGCAGGACATTAACTACTTAACAAGATTTACCATAAAACAAGCTACTAGAGGCTGAGGTGATATGGGAAGCACAAGAAATAAAAATAAATCTTGCCAAAGCCACAAAAGAATAATTGTGGGGTTACGCTATGAACCCAACACAAGACGAGTTGGCAAAAAATGGCATGGATTTAAAGATGAGTGCAATAAAATTTTGAACTCTATCAAAGACGGATAAGCATCCAATGGATGTATGAATCATAAATGAATGAACAAGTGCATGGATGCCTTATACACTCTGCCACAAACAAGGTTAACCAATAAGTAAGATCATGTTTAACAAAACAACTAGAATCAAGAGACAAATTTTAGCAATTAACAAGAGTTAAAAGCTAGACCCATCAAATGACATGTGAAATTTTCAGAATAGCATCAGAATGAAATTAGTGGAAAACATGAATGCTTGGAAGAATATTGGAACATAAGAGTGCAAGGTAGAATGCCTCAAAAAATTCAGCAACAAAATGGCATTTACTAAGAATCAAGATTAAATTTAACCAAGCAGTCAAAATTGAGAGACAAGAGTTAACCATGAAATAAGCAATAGAATTCAAGGATTAGGCCCACAAAAGAGATTTCAATAATGACAACCAGAACACGGATTTAAGAGCAAATATAACCAGGATGTCAAAATCTAGCACCCCAAGTAACAGAATTAATTAATAGAATAATCAATAGTGGAGATCAGGATACTTAGAAGATTACTGTCTTCTAATTAAAAGGGCAAACAAAAATCCAAGCAGCCAGATAAAAGAACCATTTCTCTTGGAACAAAACTCTAGGGCATCAGGTACTTCACTCGTAGCCCATGGAGGCTAAGTAGATTTACAATCAAGTCATCCTAGACATCCTAAAATCAAGTCAAAGCTAAGACATCAAGAATACAGAGATTAACACTTGCAAGAGACAAGAATTAGAATGCCTCATATAGGTATTTTCTAATAACCATCACCCCTCCTAAAGAGGTGTCCATATGAACAAAAAATCAAAAATCAAGAAGATCAACAAGTATACTAAAACAAGAACTAGCATAATATGCAGGATTTGAGCAAGAGCAGTATACAAAATTTGAGCAAGAGCAAGGGTCAGGACAAGAATGGTTTTCAAGGACAATTCAAAATAGATTCCAAAACCAACTATCAATTGATTTTCAAGAAAAGGATGCTAACATGACTTTACTCTAGGCAAGGTTCGAGATAAGATTCCAAGAACAATGCAAGAATTAATTTCAGACAAGAATTAAGATAATGAGGATTTCAATAATCATTATCCATTTTCTTTGGATTTCAGTTTCAAGAACAAGTACAAAGCAATCTCAAGAAAGATTCAAGATGGATTTCAAGAGTTTTAAGCAGTTTCCAGATATCAAGAATGTAGAGATTAGTAACAATAGAGAGTTTAACTTTATGACAGCTTGCCAATCTTCACAAAAACATAGCAATTTCAATTGAATGATCACTGTTTCTGATTAACCAATATAGAAAAATGAGCCACATGAAAAGACCATGAAGCTCCAAATGGAAAAAGTGAAACTTCACTATAAGACTTTTAGAAAGATAATGAGCAACGAAATTACCAAGTTATCTAGCTCCTAAAATGCATCTAGAAAACACACCACATTTGCTAAAATAGCCTTGAATCTCTTACAAAGTAGAGGGTTTGCCCATCTTCCACTGGTCATGTGACAAACAGAACAATTTCTTAACCAGCTATGTTGTAGAGACCAACAGAATCAATAACAAAAGATCTCTGCAACTCCCCAGATTTTACAATTGTGGCAAAAGAGCATACAAAATTTTTATTCAAGTAACAAGTCTAAACAAGTGCGGACTATCAGAAAACGACCAAGTTTCAAAGCAAGGTCTTAAGAACATGGCCGACAAGATTAATTTCATGAATCTACACAGGGTAGGAAGGCAGGAAACAAGAACAATCAGATTACCATCTCATCAAAATGAATTATAAAATTTAGGCAACATGGATCAGAATCGTCCCTTATATAACCCCATCACTCATCTCACCACGGGTCTAAAATCCATTGGCCAGCCAAGTTCTAAACAAATCCTAGGTATTCAATTAAACCTAAGCTTTGATACCACTAAATTTGTCACGTCCCAAAACCCAAATCCGGGGACATGGCAGACGCCGTACACTTGTGAGAAGGTCTCACAAATGCACAAGGCTCGAAACTTATCATACCACAATCTAATACCACAATCTAATACCACAAAATCTGAAGATAAAATTTAAAATTTCTCTGATATCATAAAATCTCCAAATAAAGTCTAGTTTACAAGATCATGATTTATATCTGAATCTATGCTCAATTTACAATATGGCTAGCCTTCTAACTCATCACTCCCCTTGTTTTTCCTCGCCCTTGACTTTGCTTCCTGAAATGGTGGACAAGAAAAAACTATGAGATAAACTCAGTAAGTAAATATGGATAGCCCTTAATTAAACTTATAGCATGCCAACAAGTATAATCAGAAAAACGGATACAGTGCGAGAACGAAATAGACGTCTCCTCTATAGGTCACGGTCAGTATTATAAACCTCCCATTGGTAGGCACATTATTTGCTGGTGTATAACCCCCACTAGCAGATTTGGTTAAAAATGAAAGTTGAGTGACCAAACCGGGCATTTAACCTTAGATCATTATATTTACTTGTTCTAGAAATACTATTATAAAGCTTCAAAACATGGGTTGGGTAAAGGCCTAATGGAATTGTTTTTTGAAAAAATTCCTAATCCTTGGGGAATAAAATTGGCAAAAACCTACAAAACATATGTAAAAAATAAAAAAGATACATTAAGACCAAGGATTTAGTTTATTGTACCTATGATTTTGATGATTACAAAACACATTTGAGTGACTAATTGGTTCATTTAAGTGTATAGTTAAATTGCTAAAAGATCGCAAAGTAAGCAAATTAAGATTGAACTGAAAATAGACCAAAAAGGCTGGACATTGTGCAGAGAGATGGCTTAAAGAAATCTGCAGCTGGATTTACAGGTGAATTCTAAGTCCAAAGTTTAGCGTGCGCAAAAAATGGATGGAAAACCAACTTTAACTTTGCAGCCAGCTGTGATGGTGCATTTAATGCACAATGGTCAAGTTATTTGAAGATTATTTAATGTTTTTAAAGTTGGAATCCCAAAGTTGGCTTTATATTTTGTAGCCAGCTGTGCAAGAAAACAGAATGTGCAGGAAACTCGCAAATCTGGCTGTAAAACTCTAAGTTGGCTGTATAGAGCCGATTTTAGACTTTAAGCCGATTGTACTGACAAATCTACAACTTAAAATTATGTGATGTGCAGAGCATTTAATGACCCCAATGGCTAGAAACGGTTATTTTCGACCATGGGGCTAGATATATGGTTGGTAACAAATCTAGAATGTTTTAGAAGAGCATTGTATTGAATATCTTTACCTACCAACTTGTGCTTTAACTTGAGTTTTTTATCTTTAAGAGATCTTTACTTGTAATCCTTTTCTTGTTCTACTTGTGTGTTATCTTAAGCGTGTGATTATTCCTTCAAGAATGATTTTTAGAGAGGATTCTTGGGGTTTATCTTGTAAAGGGGTGAGATTTTAGAGAAACACCCTTTTTCTTTTTGTAAAAGGATTGAGTGGCTTCTTTAAGGCACCCTTGATTTTGTTAATGGAGAGTGTGGAGGAAATCCTTAGTGAGTGAAGCCAAGGTAGAGGACTAGGCTCCAAGTGGTTGGACCGAACCTCTATAAAATCATTGTGCAATCTCTTCTTCCTTATTCTCTCTTTGATTTTTGTTTGGTGGATGCAAAGAGATGCAAAATTTTTCAACTCCAATTCACCCCCCTTCTTGGAGTACATCGAGCGAACATAGTTCACTAAAACCAAAATTAATGAATGGTGCATAGAAACATATAGCCAAAAGAAATTAAGAAAAAGTATGAAAAAAGGGTTATGTTGCCCTAAGAATAGTGATCCAATCAAGTTTGAACATAATTACTCAAACTACAAGAAATAAAGGATATAGCAAACACAACCAAATAATTGTATTCAATAGAAATGAATACAAAAGAATTAGATAAAAGGGAATGGACATTGCCTTAGGAAAATAATTCAAGTTGAATTCCTTTATAATTAATCTTTTTTAAAAGGAAAGATATAGTTGATTATGAAATATCCATTAAAGAATATAGCATTCCTATAAGAAATATAACAAGAATAATAAATATACTTTTGCTTATCAAGGTAGAAATAAGGTAGGATTTATCCATATTGGAGGAATTCAAATCCTTATTAAAGCTCATTTTAGGGAAGGAATTGACACCAAATAAAATTAGTTTTAATAGATAATAGAATCAATGATAGAAAGGATGCTATCCTTGGTTTAGTACAAGGTAAGGTAAGCTTAGTTACCAAAAAATTATGTTCATAGCATATCCAAGCTATGCTATGAATATTAATGATAGAAATATCAATAAAACACTAAGTCACATATGAATTGGCTAGAGAAAATTTTATGAAAGATGGATCAATGCCATATAACATTTACAATATAATAAGTTATGTATTGACCAATAGTCATCAATCTAATATTTTCAAAGATAAAGAATATATCAAATTAGATCCTATCTTCTCTAAAATAGAACAAATTCAAAAACCAGAAATGATCACTGAAATAAAACTACCCAAAGAATGGAAAATAGACATTAGTGAAAAACCACTCTT